CTGTCCTTCGGAAATGGCGCTATCAGTCTGCACACCCGTTCTTCAGTTTTTGAGAGTTTGTGGTGGGTGGCCCATGGGGCCCACCCAGCCGTTGACATCTGACAGGGGAAGATGAGTCCCTGGCACCAACACATTGCTTGGATAAAAGAGTTATCGCTTGCTTGTGTGGTGCCGTTTGGTTAGCTTACATACACTTTGTTAATGTTGAAACGCATGTGGAAACATGAACTGTGTGTGGAATGCTTGACCACAATGGCATGTGCCATTTTGGCTCAAGCATTGTTCTGGGTTCCTGGAACCCAAGCTGTTTGAAAACCCACCCACCCACACCAAGGTAAGAGGTCATGGCTGCTGCGCCCGCCAAACCACCGGAGGAGGTCCCAGCCGAGATCAAGGAGGACGTGGCAAAGTTGCAGAAGCCACTGGCGGCCATCCTGGTGGGCAAGGAAATCCCCTGGGTCATCCAGGCGGCACTGGGCGCATCGGGCTACGTCACGGTGGAAGACCTGGCGAATCGCTGGAATACCCCGGCGGCGGCCAGGGACAATGGTTTTCCGGGACCTGGGATTCCAGGATGGAGAGAATGCAGACCTCGGCCTTCACGGGTGGCAGCAAACTTGGTCAGGGGGGGCAACCAGGGTGACGGCGGGCCATGCGGGCCCGACAAAGGCTCCCTTAGAGGTCCTGTGTGACAGGCGCCAGCTGGAAGATGCTTACGTGGCCACGCATGAGGCCCCGAAGCCGAGGTTGGAATTCCAAGGTAGTGATGGCTACCTCAAGAAGCAATGGCGCATGATTGCCAAGGGCGAATTGGGCTACATCCCGGCAAAACACATCGTGAGCGCGCTCCCGGAAGAAGGGGAACGCCCACAAGAAGATCACGGTGGACGGCTGGGACAGGGAGGATGAAGAAGAGGTGAGGAGCCACCCTACATCTCGGCGCCAGCTGGAACGATTGCACCTAACCTTCAGGACGACGCTCCTGATGTGCACGGCAGCACTGCCGCAGTTTGGCAACCTGAGGGTCACCAAGGAGGAGTTGGATGACTGGTATGCCTGGTTCTATGGGGAGGACATAGCCGGCAGGAAACCTCCCCCGAGCGACACCACCTTGCTGTTTGCAGAGCGCAATGCATGGCGCAAGATTCACGAGATGGTGCACCAGGGCACCACTCTCTCCGAAGCCCTCAAGAACATCAGGGGCGACTTCCTCTTCTGGCAACGGGAGGTCTATGAGCACCTCAACAGGGTGCCGACGAAGGGGAAGAGCAAGAGCAAGGCACCCAAGGTGTGGCAGACTCAGTGGGAGAAGCCCAAGAAGGGGGGAAAAGGATCTTGGCCCTCGGGGCCTACCCATTCCAAGCCGAAGGGCAAGGGCGGCAAAGGAAAGTCCCCCAACACCTCCTCGACCCCATGGCCAGACCACTGGGCTTTCAAGAATCCCAAAGGGGTGGCGTACTGCAGGGATCATCACCTTCACAACAAATGCCCTGGATCATGCGGCCGATCCCACAACTGCCCGGTCAGGAAGGATGGGTGGGTGTGTGATGCCCCCCCATCGAAGCATGTGCCACAGGCATGCCCACACCTCCCCAAGTGACAGGAGGCCACTCAGGGTGCCAAAGGCCCCGTGGCTGCCTGGTCTCCGGAGGGATCACAGGCCACCAGTGCGAGAGTGCACACAGCGGGGGAGAGCCAATCCCACCAGAGCCACAGCGGAAGGCAGACAGAGTTGCCGGCCCCGGAAGCCCCTCCACCGAAGAAAAGGAGTGGACCCAGCCAGGGCACTCCAGAAGGGCGGAAGCACCCGTTTCCCCCGCACCCACCGAGGCAGTGGGAAGAACCCCCAGAGAGACCCAGAGGTGAGGATCCGCCCGGCAAGGGGCGTTCCAAGGGCGGGCACAACCGTCAGGGCAAGCAGCAAGCCCAGGGCCAGACGACCAGAGGGTCGGACAAAGGACACACGGAAATTTCAGGGGGGACAAGCCCCACCTTCCCCTGGATGCAAGACACCCCGGAAAGACTGAGGCTCAGACTAAGGTGGACGCCACGTCCGGTGCCGGAGTCGTCGAAGCCGACCCTCATCCTGCTGTACGCTGGGAAGGATGACGCGGGGGCCCTGGATGCCTACCTCCATGCCTACAACCCGGCCTTCTCGGAGTACATTTGGGCAGTGGACATTGGGCGAAAGGGTGGCGATCTTGGACAGGACATGCTGGGAGACGAGCCATACTCTACAATGTGCTCCATGGCCATGGCGGGCAAGGTCGCCTTTGTGGGGGGCGGCCCCAACTGCAGAACGTGGAGCATTCTCAGATGGTTCCCCAAACCGCCCGCCGCCGGTGAGGGGCAGGGCGGAGCAGACCCTGTGGGGCTTGGAGGACCTGGAGCCCCGGGTAATGGAGGACACGGACAACGACAGCGTGCTCATGCTCCGACAGATGTACCTGACCTCGCTGGCCTACCAAGGACTAGGTCAACTAACGGTCCCGCAGGTCAGCGAGGTGCTCATCGATCTGGGTCACACGGGCCTACATTCAATGGGCGAACGCACTCCACCACTCCCTCATCAAGTTTGACGAGTGCCGCCTGGGCCAGGTGGTAGTGAAGTCCACGACATTGTCAACGGACCTTCCCCTTCACCATTGGCATGATCTGCGATGCAACCACGGAGCTCACCCCAGGGGGGAAAAGCTCAACTCCAGTGACCTCAGCCGGTACCCAGAGCAGATGATGCAGGGTCTCGCAGCGGCCATCCTCTGCAGAGCGGGACCCGTCCTGGAGGCGCTGAGGCCGGGGGGCACGGTGCCCCAAGTGAACCCAACGACCCCCCCGAGGCGGCAGAGGGAACCATCTCCCAGCACGCCGGGGGACAACAAGCGCCAGTCCCTGAGGCTGAAGGCCGGCCAACAAGCGTTGGCGGGACTAACCCTTGGGCTCACTTCCGGTCTCGGCCTCAGACAATCCTGAGGTCCGGACACCAACACAGCCGGCTGGCAGGACGGTCGAACTTCGGGGTGAAACTCTTCCCCTTCAGCCATGGGCGCGCCATTGCATGGAGATCTCGGATCGGCCCACCACCCTGCCGATCACGCACGACCCAAATCTCTCCGACAAGGTTATGTACCTCCAGATGGCCTTCAAACAGCGCCCCCTCAGGGACGGGGGTGGGAAGCCCTCACTTGGACGGCTGGCCCCGTGGACTAGGCCACTGTCCAAAGCAGCAGCGATGGGGGCCAAGATCTGTGTCCTCACGTCGCCATGGGGGGCAAACTCCAGGAGTCGCTCTCGTTGGGGGACGGGTCACACCCCTTCCCGGAGGATCTGCTGGAAGATATCAGGGAGATCCTGGCGCCAGGGGCAGGCCGACCAGCGGAAGGCCAACCCTTCTTCCTGGACATCTTGCACAGCCTGGCGCTGAACATTCACAGTTTCCTCGGGATCTGGAACAAGGGGTCCCACTGGGGGTCACGGACCCACCCCTAGCCTCGCCGGGCATCTGGCCACTCAAGAAGGAGCTAAAAGGGGAGTTCCAGGAACTCCCTCATCCCACGGGCCGGGGTAACTACCCCTCAGCGGATCACTTCAGTGAGCTCATCCGTAGCACATTCCTGGAGGAGCTCCCCATGGGCATGGTAGATGGCCCTCTCACCAAGGTAGAGGCAGCAGCGCGCTGTGGCTGCAATATGGAGGATCTTTGTCCCGTGGGCATCGACGAAGGGGACAAGATCCGCACCATCTACGATGGCTCGGTGGGCGGGGCCAATGACACCATCAGGAACCAGACGGTGGAAAGGACGACGGCTCCGACGGTGCTGGATGGGGTACAAGCTCTTCATTGGCTACATGCGGCAGCTGAGGAGGGACCTCCCTCTCAGGGTGCCCCCGGCCCCGAGAAGGAGGTCGCCAAATCTCCACCCGAGGGCTGGCTATGGCCGGAGCCGGGCACCAGGTGGGTGCTGCTCAGCTTCACTGGGGGAAGAATGGTGGGTGAACAAGGTAGGCACATACGGCATGGCCAGTGCCCAATCCTACTGGGGACGCCTGGCAGCCCTTCTACTCAGGGTCCTCTACGCACTTTTCCCTCAAGTGGATTGGAACTTCGTCTTTGTGGATGACTTCCTGTGGCTGCTTCGCAGCGAGGGGGCAGTAAACTTGGCGGTGGCGCTGTTGGCAACACTCCTGGCCTTGGGCACCCCGCTTAGCTGGAAGAAGACACATTTGGCGGAGGTCAACACGTGGCTGGGCTTCGTGGTCCACCCGAACATCCCGCAAATTCTCATGGCCGCCAACAAACACATCCTGGTGATGGAGGTCTTGCAGACCATGGTGGAAGGGCAGGCGATGCACTCAAAGGACATCGAGGTGGCAGACCCCCCTGTGGCCTGGGTGCCCCGGGCCCCGGCTCAGGGGCGGGCGCTATCAGTCTGCACACCCGTTCTTCAGTTTTTGAGAGTTTGTGGTGGGTGGCCCATGGGGCCCACCCAGCCGTAGACATCTGACAGGGGAAGATGAGTCCCTGGCACCAACACATTGCTTGGATAAAAGAGTTATCGCTTGCTTGCGTGGTGCCGTTTGGTTAGCTTACATACACTGTCGGTTGGAAGGGAGAGGTTCCAAAACACGGAGGTTCTCTCAATTTGCCGTGGACCCGGTGGGAGCCTCTTTTTTCAGGAGTAAGGCCAAGCACCCCTTGCAAGGATTGCGAGGAAAAGGGGGAGTGGGGTTGGTCGGTTGGAATTCACTTTCATGGTGTTGCTTCCAGCGTCCATTAGAAAGATGGTGGAATGGCCCATTTTGCACAGTGGCCCGACTCCCAGCCGTCCGCCAAGACACGGAAACGGTGTTGCCTCCGCAACCTCAGAGTTCGAGTTTCAAGACGCCTGGAAAGGGCAATGTGTGCGTTGTTGGGGGTTGTTTTGAAGGAAAGCAAAGGAAATCTACGCTTTCCCCCTGACGCAAATCCAGAGGAACCCACTGCTTTTGGCCCATGCCGTTAGGTGGATGGGCCAGCCAATGCCCGCTGGCGGAGAGGAGTTGATGGCAGGCGCGCAAAAATCGTGGCTGCAGGTTGGCTTGGACTCAAGGCTCACTCAAATCGTTGGTAAAATGTAGGCTTTGTTTTAGGCGGGGACCCCCAAAACTCTGGTGTTCCTACTCAAATCGAAGGAATATCAATGTGTGTGTCTTTTTTGGGGGGACCCCCAAAATGGTGTTTTCCTTGTGGTTGTCCTTTAAAGCCACCCAAAAAAGGGGTTCCTCAAAAAAGACACACCTACTAAACAATGCTGACTTGGGGTGATTTTCCGTCAGTGGCTCATGTTCACGGCATTCTGATCCGAGGTCATGTCGACGAGCTTGCCCCAAAACGCGGATTCACCAAGCTGCCACAACCCAAAGCTTTGTGGCTATTTGGTTGGAGCGTTGGACTGTCACTTTGTGGGAAACTGTGGATTTTCCATTGGACCCAGAAAAAGTTATTCACTTCTTGCACCGGGGTCGTTTCAGCAACCAAGGTTAGGGCACACTGTTGGGATGCAAGCCGGCTGCTCCTTAGACTCGTTTGGCGGACCGCTGAAATCTGAGGTGTGGAAATGATGCAGTTGCTACTCAATCCCTGAGTTCATGGACATACTTTTCGGGTTTGGACCATTTTAATGGTGAAGAAAAAGTTTAGGTACGTTTTCTGGCCAATCCAGGAAGTGAGTTTCTAGTTTAGGGTAGGCCAAATATGGAACAGACTCAGACCATCAGATTTCTGCATCCCCCTCCCCCCCCCCCCACCCCATCCCCAAAAACAAGATTGGCCAAGAATATCTCACCCCCACCCCCTTCCCCCACCCCATCCCCCAGAACACTCACCACTCGATCGGAACTGAAGGGGGAGGGCCGTCCAAAACGCCGTGCCTCGCACGGCGGGGGCATCGGGTGGCACTCCCCGCAGGCCTCTGCCTGTCGCTGGCCTGCGAGGCCAAGCGCCTGGTGCGGGCGCGCCTGGGGGCCATGAAGGCGGGGGAAACGGGGGATGGGGTTGGTCTCGCTATGGGTGGCTCGACTTTTTTGAGGGGGACCGCCCCCCCCCAAAAAAAAAAAAAGAAGAAGAAAGAAAAACAGTTTATGTGAATATAAAAAGAGAAAAGTTGGTTTCCTGTTGGTTCACCTTTGAAACTTCAAAAATAATGCATTCCCTCAAATAATGGACCGCTAGAGTTTTACCGGGGTTTCATTTGGGGTTCCTATTTTTCACTCACAGCCAAATGGGGCACTCTATCGGTTTGCCTTCCTTTGCGGTTTGCCCAGAAAGCAGTGAAAGGGGGGGGGGGGTGAGACAAACAGGGAGACGCATGAAAAGGGCAACATCGACAGAAGCACACAAGCACTTCGCAAGGAATAGGGGCAACAGGATGCCACTAAACAACCGGCAGGGACAGCCGAGGCCCAAATAGTTAGAATTGGTTTTGTGTGGGGGGAGGAGGTACTTTAACAACAGATCAAATCTTGATTGCAAGTGTCTTTGTGTGTGTGTGCGTTTGCGTACTTGTTTAACCCCTTATAGTTCGGTGCTGAAGGGCTTGCTTTACCCACACAAAAGCAAGCTCTGCGGATGTAAAGGCAAACAAGCTAAGACTCTCTCGAACCCGCGCGTTTGGGATTTGGATTCCAAACCCAATAAGCCCGAAGTGGGGGGTCGTCCGATTTCTTCATCCGACGCCAACACACGCCAACCAAAAACGATGGTTGCAATATGCCTGGAGAGCTCAAAGTCGTAGCCCTGAAGGCCCCGGCTGTCTCGCAAGTTGTGGAACCAACCGAACCTGTCCAGGCACGTCCAGTTTGTTTCGTCATTGTTTGGGTTAGGTTCCGCGATTACCATCCATGCCATTCGACCTTTAGATGTTTGGAGCTTATATTAGAGAAGTGTGTGACGCGTTGCACTAAACGTTCCTTTTGTCGCAAGGCATGGCTAAAGCTCGGAGTTCTTTTCAACTCAAAAGAGCGAGCCAAATCGTCATGGCCAGGCTAACTGGGTTACCCTCCCGCCAACTTTTCACAGCCGAAACCTCACGAAACCAGGACCCCGCGTCAGGTTCCAGGTTAATTGGTGGGAGGCCTGAGATGGCGGCAATGATTGAAATCCTTAGGCTTGCACCTTGAACCTGGAGCAGAGGCCATTCCAAAGCAGAGGGTCAGCTGTGTCCACGCAGGGATGGTCCTTGTGGAGGAAGCAACCTGGGAAGACTGCTTGCAGTTTGTTGGGCTTGGAGACACGAAGACTTGTTTTCAACATGACCTCTCGGCTGCAAAGGGAGCCCTTGGTTGATGTCGGTTGGAAACACACCCCATCCCCAAACACGGGGTCAAGGAGTTTCCTCGAAAGGGTGCCCATGTTCCCAGTAGATTCTATCCATTTCCCGCTTGGGTTCTCTACGAATGCCGTAAATAGTGCAAGTCCGAACACAAACCACAGGGGAATTTACAGGGGTTTCCCGTGCATTTTTGCAAGGGAATCCAAGCGCGGACCCCGACTAGATCTCCACAAACCCATTTCTGTCGCCAGGATGCAGATTCCAAGCCGCTCCTGCTGCAGATGCTTGGCGACGTCCCCGTGTAAATTCTAAAAGTGGCAGATAACAATGCAAGCGCCAGATGGGTATTTATTTATTTATTCGGGGACCCAGCAATTGGTTGGTGTTCCTTTTGGTCTCCCCAAAGAGGATACCCTCAAAAGAAGACACACCCACACTCAATTCATAACTTTTGAATGGATGTACCTGAGAAAGTGGCAGGCTTGCTCCGAGCCTCAAGTTAAAGGTGTTCCCTTGGGCCTTTGCAGCAACCAACAGGCTTTTATACTGCGGTGGCAACTGGGGAAGCGCAGGTCAGCTCCCTTATCAGGGAAAAGGCCTGCAGTTGGTTGAACCCTTGAAATCCACCGGCCAAACAGGGTGTCCTGTCTGGGTTGGCTTGGTCCCCCAGCAATGCCCTGCTACCCTTTTTCGGTTGGGAGGGTTCCCCTACTAAAATAGACTACAGAAACAAAGGTACCCTTATTCTAACCTCTCTACTGGAGGACCTAGTTGGTCTTTTGATAGAACTAGCGTTTGACTTGTTGGGAAACAATCGTTTCAAGCCAACTAGCAAGAGTACCTCTTGTTGCAGTAAAGACCAACCCAGTTTTGCTGTTCCCTTCTTGGTTTCCGTTCAGTCGTGGCCCAACTGGTCGACATGTGTTTTTTCCTGGTGCTGTTCGCAAGCGGCTTGCCATATGCGAAGAAGCGGCCCTTGGACAAGGGGCTTTTTGGACAGTCGCTGTCAACAAGTGCAACAAGCCGCCCTTCGGTCATCGTGGCTCAGACTTGTTTGCCCATGCACTCAAGAAGTGAAGTATATTCTCCAAGCAGCTCACTTGGTGTTATTCACTCAAGAAGTGACCCAGACAGATTTCATATCTCCCTATCTTTTTCGAGCTGCTTTTCCCCAGGTTTCCAACTGGTTCCCCTTTCAACATCTCCCGAAGCCCAACCCCTCAAAACCCACCCCACTCCCCCCAAGCCCAACCCAACCCCCGTCCCCCCCAAAGAATCCAACCCCCCCCCCCCCAACAAAAAAGAAAAGAAGAAACAAACAATCCAACCCCCTTCCCCCCCCCCAAAAAAAAAAAAGAGAGGAGGAAACACACAAACCAACAAAAACAACCCAACCCCAAAATGAAAGAAACAAACCACCCAAAAGCAACACCGGGTCGCCCCCGAGGACGCTGCACCACCTGGTGCAGTTCCACGGATCCATGGCCTCCCTCGGGGGCCAAGCCGCGGCCGCCGCCGCCATGCGCCTCGGACTCGGGCGTGGTCACCCTTTTGTTTTAGGAATCGGACCTCTCTTCCCCCCCAAAAAAAAACAAAACGAAAAAACAAAAACAAAAACAAAAAGTAAAGAAAGTAAAGATAGAATAAAGATGGCGCAACGGTTTTCCTGTGGGTTTCTCCTTTAAATGCAAAACCAGGAAGGGTGCCAACTCCGAAGAAAGGAACCACGCCCTTTTTTGGAGTTGGTGGAACTGAGTCCCAAAGGAACCAAATTTATGGCAGGGGCAGATGGCCAGCTGGCCAGGTGGTTGGCCCAACCCTGTTTCGTGGTTTCTTAGCCCAAAAAAATCCAGTGGATTAGGAGATGCCAACTATGTATTGAAAGTAAAGGAAGAAGTTGGAAGCCAGGGGCAAAATATGGAACAAGGTCGACGAAGTACCAAAGGAAAACCGCGGGTTTGGGCGTTTTCTTACGTCCCCGTCCATTTTTTTCGTGGAACCAAGAAAGAATCCAACGGAAGCCAACGAGTTGGAGTTTGCTTGCAATATATATATATATATATATGGAATCCACCGCAAGCCCTCCTTGCTGTACTTGAAGGGAAGTGAAAGGGGATTCCATGGCCACTCCTTGAGGTTAGGTCAAAGGGAACCGAATGAGTTTTATGTTTTGAAAGGGTAGCTTAGAAGGGCTTGCTGTGACGGATCGGCGCCAAACGAGCAATTGCTGCCGGTAATGCTAGGGATGAGTTGCCCGATGAAAAACCTGCGGAAAAACCCAACAGCTCCATGGTAATTCGGCTCCGAACCAAGGTGGACGGCCCTTGGCATTTTGTTGATTCCCGTTGCGTTTCTCTTTGGTGCCGCCCCCAGGAAGGATTTCGACGAGAACCGGATGCTGGAGGGAGGCCGTGGCACGCCGTTGCTGCTTTCTTGGTTCCCCGCCATCCGGTTCCTCAGGTGTTCCTCAGGTCGTTGGGGTGGAATGTGCGTTGGGTTTTTCCATTTCACCCACCCGTCAACACAAGTTCGCAGGGGATCTTAGGACGTTGCCCTTGTGGACCTTCCGGGACCCCGAAGACACGAAGAAGAAAAAAGAAAAAAGCGGCACGCGGGATGGCCTTGGATTCACAGGTGGCTTGTTGAAGCGAAAGAGAAGCCTCAACGACAGTCTTGGGTCTTTCTGAAGTCAACGGTTTGGGTATGTCCGGTTGACATGGGTGCAGCATGCATGTGCGAATGTAATGCATGTGTTAGACGGATCATGAGTTTACATCATTGTCAATTGGGCATGGCCTTGTGTCTGGGGGCTTTGGCCCCGTTTGGGACTCATCTTTGGGGAAACATACAGTGCCATGTTGGGCCCATGCCGCATCTCATAGTCACAATCACTTTCGGTGTTTGCTGCCTTTCAGACATGAAGACCGCCATGATCAAGATGACAGACAGCTTGCTCTCTGGCGCGCCTCGTGCTTCTCGAGGATTTAAAGAGAAGTCCGTCGACAGATTCCCGGGGCAAGACCGGGCGTGACGGATAACACCGCGTGTGAAACCCGCTTCCAGAGTTCCGATGAAGCAGCTGACACCTTCAAGACCAAGGTTTTCGAGGATGGCATCCACTTGTGTCGGTCATCAACCGCAACACCTCGACGCAATCGGAGTTTGACGGAAGTGCCTGATTTCATGATTTCCCCATGGCCCGTGGAGCTCTGGGTTGGAGATTCGAATTTGATATTTGTGTTGCGATGGTTTGTCCATGTTGGCCCTTTGTGGGTATGAGGTGCGCTGTTTCCTCGTGCAGTCGGTTGGGTCAGTGAAGCCCTTGAGCCTTGTGTGGCCTTCAGGTTTACGGCCGCTGTTTGGCAATGTACCCGGCATTTATGCGGTCAGTTTGGATTCCTCAGTGAGGTACGCCCACTCAAAAGGCATCCAGGGAGGTCCAAATGACATCTCGCTGCGTTTTTGGTTGGGTTTGGTTCTTTGCATATGTAGAAAGGTGCGGCAAAAACCACATGTTGCACAACCAAAAAAAACCTGGGGCTGGGTGACACGTCAATTTGGCAAGAACTGTCTGGCCGCGTGTAAAGGATCATGCATCTGCGAATCTTTTTTTGGCCCAGTCTGAGTCGGCTGTGGCTCGAAATAAAACGATCGGAGGGGCAAACCACAGGTGTTGGAACCCATGTTTCAACACTTACCGATGGGGCAACCCATTTTGGTACCGGTTTTTTGAGCCAGGGCAACCCATTTGGGAATTCCGTTTTTTTTAGCCACAGGCTCCGAGGAGCCCAACGGCCCTGTGAGCCCCGAGCGAGGAGGCAGGAGCCCGGGAGAATTTAGCTGTCCGAGCCTGAAAACCAAAGCTTTGGTAGAGGAGTCTCCTTTTCGAAGACAGCCCTCTTTTGGGGGTAGTCGATTTTGCAAGGGGGGTGTCCCTGAGTGGGTTCCAGGCCTCTCTGAATCCATTTTGGGGCAACTGGGAATTGTTCGGCTGGGGTTGGGCTGTCAACTCCGGATGAATCGGAAAAAAGGACAATCTAGTCAAACTCGAGTGTGTCTCACTAAGACCGGACGTTGGGGGGGGCTCCATTTTTGATTATCGTAATCCGCGCCGACACTTGTGAGGGAGCGGCTGTCAATTTCGAAAAGTTGAAAAGGTAAATTCGGTCAAGTCTAAGAGAGCAACCAAGACGAAGCCATGTGGGCCCGTTGCTTTTCCGAGAATCCACGTCCACCAGTCCCACTGCGTCTGCTTGGACCATGCGGTTGATCGAAGTCTCCATCATTTGGACGGCAAGGGCAGGGTCCGGCAGGAACCAGATGTCTCTGAAGCGAAGTCATGATGTCGGGGTTGATCAATCTTCCCGACCCCCAAATCACCATGGCCAACTTCCCCCACTGAGTGGTGAAAGTCGTATCTTTTGTGTCTGTTTCCCCAATGGTCCCATGTTGACGGACCTTTCGATCAACCCCATGGCCCAACCATCGGACCTTGCGCTCAACGGTCGCAGGCCTGGCTTTGCGCCTGGCGCGCCTGGCGCGGGCCTCAGCTGAGGAGGAGGCCAAGGAGATCGAGCCGGGGAGCCCAGACGAAACCGGGTGCCTTTGAAGGAATCGGAAATTCGCTCGGATCGGCGAGGCTTAGGGGACCCCTGAGTTGAAATGATTTGGGAGGTCTCCCCATCGAGGTGCCCTTTGCGCCTTAAGAAGAAAAGAAGAAAACCGAGCTCCATTTCCGGAACTCCGAAAAACCAAACCCCGAGCTCAGCACCCCTCCACGCCGACGCCGACCCCTCGTGTTTTGTCTTTTTCTCTCGGCGTCCGCCTCTTTTTGGCTATAAATTAATACGCAATTTATATACATATATATATATACGTGTATGTATTTATATATGTATTTATATCATACATATACATATACATATATACATATCATATATATATATACATATCATATATACATATATGTATATACATATGTTGGCCTCCGCCCTTGTTTTCCGTCTGAGAAAACTCAGGCCCCTGGGCTTCCTGGACGTCTGGGCCGCCGCGGACTTCGGCTTCGTGGACGAGAAGCTGTCCGCGGGCCTCGCGGGGGCCGCTTGGCGCCCGAGGCCCGGAGCGGAAATCCGGGAGCCAAAAAATCCGCGACGCCCGGGGGGGCCCCCCTGGAATATATATATATATATATATATATGTGATTAGCCATGATTCATTTCATCAACAGGGATGTCGCGGTAGTGACTGACCTGTGATGTTTGGCTCAAGATTTTGGGTTCCGTCGCGCCTCGAATGGGCGTCGCCGAACCCCTGCGTCGACCGACGGCATCTCGGGGGAGAAAGAGACCTCGGGCCGCCGCCAGGTTGGTAGGGACCAGTCGTGCGGCCTGTTGTCGACCAAGGTTGCGGGTTAAACCTTTTCTTGTTTGGTTTGTTTTCCTTTGGTTGTTGTTCTCTGGTGTGTGGGAAACCCTGATCTTTGGGACCGGGGATTGGTTTGCTTTTGGGGAACCTTTCTTTTGTGGCTTGTTTACCCCAACTTACCCATTGCCTGGGCACAGGCTCGTGCCCGAATCACAGGTTATCAGCCGTAGGACTTTCCTACGCGCTTGAGACCATCAACTACAAGCTCTATGTCGACCCCACGATCTCGAAGGAGCGTCGTGGATGAGGAGGCCATCCTAGGTGGCCTCCGCTCAGGTGAGGACCTACCGGACTATGACTACGAGGATTTCGAAGCAGGTTCGACAGGTCAGGACCGCAGGGGTGAAGATCCCGGTAGGGATACACCCAGGGGCCGTGGCAGGTACGCCGACGATGGAGACGATCGTATTTTCCGCCAGGCCACTGATGACGAGCAGACACGAAGGGTTTACTCCGGTAGGAGTGGCTCTGAATCAGGTCACAGGCGTGGACATTTTGACTTCATCAGCATGGCGATGGACATGGCCCGCCCTCATTCGGATGACCCGGAGGCCATGCCGATTCGACCTCCGAGATCTCTTGTTCCAGGTGAGTCGCAGGTCTCGGATGAGTTTGAGAGTAGGCCGCAGGGACCAGGGACTATGGTTCTGGTTCCGGGAGGTATCCCGGGCCGATCCACTGGTTCTCAAAATCCAGGTCAGTTTGATGAGCACGAGGAGCGGAAATTCACGGGACTTCGGATACGATGATCTGTTGAAATCAACCGCAGGTTGGGGCAGTAGCTCAAAGCAGGGATCTGATGCCGGTAGGCCCAACCCTATTACTGCCAAATCTGAGTTTTATGATGACGGAGATTACGATTTTGCGGATGAAGAGGAGAGCCATTCGCGCCGAAGTGCAGGCAACCGTGCGGCTGCGAGGACTAGCCCTGCCGCTGCCAAGTTTGAGGTCGGTGATGATGACGAGTATGCCGCATTTGCGGATCGCCGTGATGAGGAGGAGCACCAATCACGACGAAGTGCTAGGATCCGTGATGCTGCGAGGCCCAGGAGCCTCTCTCGTGGAGCCGTCAGGGACCTTCGTGTTGACAGGGACGCCCGAAGCAAGAGAGAGAGAACCAGGGACAGTCGGGAAGTTCTTCGGGGATTGGAGGCTATCCATGACCATGGGGGACCGGTAGGTCCCCCGGCGATTGGTGATACCCCGAATGTTCCCCCTTTTCCCAACATCACTTTTGGAGGTCCGTTGGATCAGAGAGACGTGAACTCGAACCGGGTTACTGGTTCGCCGAGGATCACTGAGCGGGTTGCCGATGTCGTTGGGAGAGGTGCAAGAGATGGCCGGCTTGCCGATGCACTCGGAATCGAGGATCATCCGTCGATCGCTAGCCCGTTAGGGCGAGATACTAGTGACCTTGAAACACTTAGGTCTAGCAACGAGTTCACACCTCAGTGGGGCTCGACCGCCAGGGAACGAAGTGCTTCTGCGAAGAGACCGTCACCCCTGGCCATTGAGACCGATAGGTCGAAGGCGAGGAGGGCTAGCCCCTCACCAATGGAGTCAACTCCGCAGGATGAGGAGATGCCTGATCCTGCTGATGTTCACATTCACTCCACCCCCGAGTCACGTGCATCCAACATTGATCCCCGATCTGGCGATGGCCGGAGAAGGGGATCCACCCCGAGTAGGCCATCCAGGATTGATGATGGTCCTGTGGATGACCCCAGAAGGTATACTAGAGCTAGTGGGGCTCCTGAGAGGATCGAGATATCGACTCCTCCAGCACTTAGGTCTCATTCCTCCGGTGAATCAGGTGATGCTAGGGCAAAGGAGGTCTTTGATTTGCACATCCAGGAGATGCTCGAGAGAGGTGAGGTTTCTGGCTCAGTCGCGAAGGCGTTCCACATCTTTGCTGACCAAATCAGGGTACTGAACGGTCAGGTGAGTTCCATGCGAAGGGAATGGAGTGACGAGAGCCGACAGACGAAGGACAAGGTCGATCGCCTGGCAGCTGAGATTGCGACTCAGTCTGATGCCGGGAGGATGCAAATGATAGGTCAACGATTTGCAAGGGAAGTTATTCCCGACAGCAAGGCCATTGTGAGGCAAGCCATCGATGAGCAAGCCGAGGTCGTGGAGCAGAGGATCAACCTACTGTCCCACGAGGTTCATGAATCTGTCAAGGACAATGAGGCATCGACTGATCGGCTTCGCCAGATGATTCAGGAGAATAGTGAGGCTACCCGTAGGAGCCATGCTGCTTCCGAGGATGAGACCCTTAAGGACTTGGAAAAGCTCGAAAAACGGATGTTCTCGGTAGAGAAAACCGTCGGGATTCGGACACCAGCAGGTGAATTGAATTTGAATCCTGTTGCGCAACTGTCCGATAGGGCCAGTAGCAGTGTGGTGAACGCGAATTTCAGGGAGTTAAACCTGAAGATCGGGGAAGTTCTCCATGAACACGAGACATTTGCCAAGTGGGCCTCTGAATCTATCGAAGGGATAAATGAAGAACACACTCGTCTTGTTAATCGAGTGTCGAGGCTGCAGAGTGGAAGGGGGTCTCAGGAGGTCGATAGACCATCAGAACGTGATTCCCCACAGGACTGGCATGAGGCTGTTGACGAGATCAATCGGAAGATGCAGGATCTGGTTAGAGGAATTCAACGTCAACGTCGAGATCATGACGACATCATTTCAAGGTTTGAGACCGTGAAATCACATGTTGAACAGTATGAAGCGAGATCGGCAATTGTGAATCGGGTCGTTGATGGTATTCAAGGACAGATCCGTAATCTTCCTGCAAGCAGTGACCAGATGCAGCCTGCCGTTAGGCGAGAACTTGGCTCGCTCCGGAGTACGCTTGAAGGCGTTATGCGGAGAGTAAGCGCTATCGACGGTAACGTGCGTACTCTTAGCGCAGCGAACAACAGGATCATGTCTCAGCTCTTTGAAATGGAGGGTCAATTTGACGAGGCTGCTGGCATCATTCAGGGTGTCCAGCAGATTAATGAGGCTCCTCAACAACCCAGAGAGGGACGGAATGTTGGTTACAACGCATTTGCGGGGCAAGGACATAGGATCAGGTCTCCGACGCCCACACCCGGAGAAAGTGACGGCCGGGGTACTGGCCTTCCGGTGAGATCAGGCGGGGGTGTTGGTTTGAGTGATCATGTTTTGCCGAATGTGCCCGATAGGGTCGATCCTTCTCGCGCGGATAGGCACCCCATTTATCCCGTTAGGGAGAGGTCCGACAGCAGAAGTAGGAGGGTTCGGGGGTTGCCTGACAGGTCGCACTCACCGCCAGGGCGTGCGAGGGATGGCCCCCGTGCGCGCGTAAGGGGGGACATTTCTGTTTCTCCTAATAGGAATGTGAGTAGGAATAGGCCTGATGCTATCCCCGATAGGAGATCTGAGGTCCGGAGTCGGCAGTCAAGGGGGGAGAGGCCGGTCCGCGATAGCGGGAGCATCTCTCCGAGTCTGGATAGGCCGATCCGCGATAGCGGGAACGTCTCTCCAAACCCAGGCCATCATCCAGGAGGTGGTAGGGGCAATAGGGCTCATGCTGACATCCAGAGTCCCGGTGATGACTGGAGGACTCCTGGGAGTAGGGCTAGTGCCGATATCCAGAGTCCCGGCGATAGCCAGAGAACCCCTGGAGCTCCATCTGAACGTGGACAGGCCTCGGCACCGGCCACGAGAGGCGCTCCCGGTGCCGGTGGCCCAGGTGCGCCAAAGATTTGTGCCCTCGATGACCCCAACGACCGTAGGCACCCGGACGCTGAATTTTCGTGTGTTACGTGCACTCGTGAGTTTTGCAGGCTTTGCCGGGGTGACGATGGCGACTGTAGCAATTGTCAGTTTTTGAAAATGAAGTGCTGGGCATGTCGCAAGAATGCTCAAGAGGTCTCCATGTATTTCTGCACGGATTGTGGGACTCACGTCTGTGAGAATCACAGTTACTTTGGAAGTGATGGCCTCGAGCGATGTGCACGCTGTAACATTCGGCATGAACGCGCTCAAGCTGGACCGCCCCCTCCTCCTCCTCCCGGGGGAGGTGGTGGGCAAGGCGGACCACCTGGTCAAGGTGGGAGCGGAAGCGGTGGTTATGGACATGCTCCACTTCCTCCACCAGCTCCTGGACATCCTGGCGGAGGCCAAGGTCCCGCTGGACCTCCTGGCGGCCCGAGTGGAGGGGCACCTACCGGGGGTTACCCCGGTGGGGCACCCGGGTTCCATGGCAGTGCTGCTGATACTCATGGAGCTGGGAACAATCAGTGTGGCTCCAGCTTCTATGGTCCTGCCTACGGAGGTGGCGTTAGTCACCTAGGGGTTGGTGCTGGCGTTAGTCAGTCTAGCAATGCTGCAGGTTATCCCTCTAGTGTTGTGAGCGGTGGTAACCTTGGGCCAGGTCTTAGCCTTGGCTACAGCGTAAATGGGGCCGGTAGGCAGGGAGATGGTGGTCTTCTACCTGAAGCCTTGAGGGGAGACGATGGACGGGACAGGTGCACTAAGTGTAGCAGGATCCCTGAGCCTGGTTTCCCTCTTGTTCCTTGCGTTGGTTGTGGAATGAGGGCGTGTGAAGTTTGCTGCCCTATGCCTGCTAGACTGTGTGAAAGTTGCAGGATTACCTCATGTACCCCGATAGGGGCTCTGATTTCCACCGTTGTCGATAAGGATCGGTTCCATC